ACTGACGGACGGCACGGACTGGTGGCACTGATAGGCAGCACCGACTGGGGGCACTAACTGGCAACACTGACTGGCAGCTCTGACTGACGGCACTGACTGTTGGCACTGACGGACGGCACTGACTGGTGGCACTGATAGGCAGCACTGACTGGGGGCACTGATGGGCACTAACTGGCAACACTGACTGGCAGCACTGACTGACGGCACTGACTGTTGGCAGCACTGATAGGCAGCACTGACTGGCTGCACTGATGAGCACAGATTGGCAGCACTATTGGGAACTGATGGGCAGCACTGTTTGGCACTGCTGGGCACTTTTGGGGCTGCACTGATAATCAGTACCCTGATTATCAGTGCAGATGTCTCCTTTGACAGTTGACCGTTATCGGCAGTACTTTCCCCATCCTGTGACAGTGCGAGGAAAGTACTGCCGATAACCGGCAACTGTATGTACATGGCGGTCAGCTGTGATTGGGCTTTTACACATCATATGATCAGCTGCGTCCAAAAGACACAGCGATCACAGACAACAACAGGTGTGCTCCACTGAGGGCGCGTTTGGGGAGGACGTCACATGACACCCCCCCAAGACTGCGGCAACGAATGACGGCTACAGCGCGGTAGGGAAGTGGTTAAACACGTCCAGTGCACATGAGGCCTACAACTAAAGCCGCCATCTTCCTTTTCATATTTGTTCTGGAATAATCGTTGACGTAGGTAATGTGAGGCGTCACCGCCGGGCACAAGAGCTTTCATGCCACATTAACAAACAGTAGGACGTGGTGATGGAGGAAAGTACATAGAAGCCACATATGAGTAGCGGAGGAAAGCCGACACGCAGGCCGGAGTGTCTGACAGGTGCGGCATCTGGGCCCGCCGTGTATTGACATGAAACATTTGGCCTGGGTACCAGCTGCAGCGCATTAAGTAATGCCTCACAATGTATTTACCTTATTGCAGTCACTTCCTTTCCGGGTTTATTTTTGGATTCCGGCCTCCATTCCACCTGCTTTCTATTAAACCCGTCCAATGCTGTCTGTGTAATGTATGAGGATATTGACAGCAAATGACAGCCTACCGCGCCAACGACCTACGAGCTGAGTGTATACAGCTACAGCGTACAAAGCCTGGGTAGGCAATACAAAAGGTTTGTATAGGGCTAAGATAGCACCAGATAATGGTTAACACTCTCACTGCTGGAGCCTTTATTTATTTATTTCAGGTACTTATATAGCGCCGTCAATTTTCGCAGCGCTTTACATATACACAGGCGTACCTCGGTTTACGAACGCCTCGGTTAACGTCATTTTCGGTTTACGAATGAAAATCCATTGAAAATAATGCCTCGGTTTACAAATTTTTTTCGCGATACAAAGCAAGGTTCCCAAGGATGCATTGCGCCTGGGAGGTTTATAGCACCGCCCCTGTGCATGCTGGGAGTCTGTGGGTAGCACGTGGCATCGAGTGCGGAGGTGTTGGAGTGGTTTTTGCATCGAGCCATTTTGGAAATTTTTTTTAATCATGTCCCTGTACAGTATTTATGCCTTTAAAGTGCACTTTATAAAGAGTTTTAAACAGATAAAACTTTTTTTGACTTTTTTCTGACCTCTGGAACGGATTAATTGATTTTCAATGCATTTATGAATTTTTTTCGCAATACAAACGGATTCATTGGTTTTAAATGCATTTACAAATTTAATTTCTAATCATATCCCTCTACAGTATTTATTCATTTAAAGTGCACTTTATAAAGAATTTTGAACAGATAACACTTTTGTTGACTTTTTTTCTGACCTCCGGAACAGATTAATTGGTTTTCAATGCATTTACAAATTCATTTTTAATCATATCCCTCTACAGTATTTATGCATTTAAAGTGCACTTTATAAAGAATTTTGAACAGATAACACTTTTTTTTGACTTTTTTTCTGACCCCCGGAATGGATTAATTGGCTTTCAATGCATTTATGAATTTTTTTCGTAATACGAACGGATTAATTGGTTTTCAATGCATTTACAATTTTTTTGTAAATCATGTCCCTGTACAGTATTTATGCCTTTAAAGTGCACTATATAAAGAGTTTTGAACAGATAAAACTTTTTTGACTTTTTTCTGACCTCCGGAACAGATTAATTGGTTTTCAATGCATTTTTTTTTTTTTCGCAATACGAACGGATTAATTGGTTTTCAATGCATTTACAAATCAATTTTTAATCATGTCCCTGTACAGTATTTATGCCTTTAAAATGCACTTTATAAAGAGTTTTGAATAGATAAGACTTTTTTTTAAACTTTTTTTCTGACCTCCGGAACGGATTAATTGGTTTTCAATGCAATTACGATTTTTTTTTTTAACCACTTGCCCTCCAGAGGATTTACCCCCCCTTCCTGACCACGCCTCTTTTTGCTACTCGGCGCTGCACTAATTCAACTGATAATTGCGCGGTCATGCAATGCTGCTTCCAAACGAAATTTACTTCCTTTTTTTCACACAAATGGAGCTTTCTTTCGGTGGTATTTGATCATCTGTGCGCTTTTTATTTTTCACGCTATAAACAAAAAAAAAAAAAATTTTGAAGAAAAACAATATTTTTTACTTTCGGCTATAAAACATATATAGTAAACTCAAAGTTGGTTATAAATTTAGGCCAAAATGTATTCTGCTCCATGTTTTTGGTAAAAAAAATCCCAATAAGTGTACAGTTGTGGCCAAAATTATTCAACCCCCAATGCTGTAAAGGGGTTTAGGGACTATAGTGTACATTTGGAATTGTATTCAGAATCAAATCCTACAAGGACGTTGTAACTACCCAAATGCAACTAAAATGACATCAATTGTTTATGTAATACAGTAGTAAATGGTTCTTATGTGGTTTCTTCATTGCCACAATTATTCAACCCCTTAAAGACTACCACTCTGAAGAACAGAGGTTCATACAGGTGCTTTCCATCAGGTATTGAAAACACCTGTGGATGTCACCGAGCAGCAATCAAGCATAATAAAGCACCAATTAGGCAGCTTTAAAATGACTGTGATACTCAGCTCCTTCTAGACATTTACTGGTGTGGTTACAAACATGGTGAAGGCAAGAGAATGGTCCAGGAAGACAAGAGAAGAGGTGATTTCTCTTCACAGGAAGGGCAATGGCTATAAGAAGATTGCAAAAATGTTAAACATACCAAGAGACACCTTAGGAAGCATCATTCGCAAATTCAAGGCAAAGGGCACTGTTGAAACGCTACCTGGTCGTGGCAGAAAGAAGATGCTGACTTCGACTGCTGTGCGCTACCTGAAGCGTAGAGTGGAGAGAAGTCCCGTGTGACTGCTGAGGAACTGAGAAAAGATTTGTCAGATGTGGGTACAGAAGTTTCAGCCCAGACAATAAGACGCACACTGCGTAATGAAGGCCTCCGTGCCAGAACTCCCAGGCGTACCCCCTTGCTGTCTCCAAAGAATAAGAAGAGTCGACTGCGTATGCAAAAGCCATGTGGACAAACCAAAAAGTTGTGGGATAGTGTTCTGTGGACTGATGAAACAAAATTAGAACTGTTTGGGCCCATGGATCAACGCTATGTTTGGAGGAGGAAGAACAAGGCCTATGATGAAAAGAACACCTTGCCTACTGTGAAGCATGGTGGAGGGTCAATCATGCTTTGGGGCTGTTTTTTCTGCAGGTACAGGGAAGCTTCAGCGTGTGCAAGGTACCATGAATTCTCTTCAGTACCAGGAGATATTGGATGGAAACGTGATGCAGTCCGTCCGTACACACACCTGAGGCTTGGGAGACGTTGGACCTTTCAACAGGACAATGATCCCAAGCATACCTCCAAGTCCACTAGAGCATTGGTTGCAGAGGAAAGGCTGGAACATTTTGGAGTGGCCATCGCAGTCACCAGACTTAAATCCGATTGAGAACCTCTGGTGGGACTTAAAGAAAGCAGTTGCAGTGCGCAAGCCTAAGAATGTGACTGAACTGGAGGCCTTTGCCCATGAAGAATGGGCGAAGATACCCGTAGATCGCTGCAAGACACTTGTGTCAAGCTATGCTTCACGTTTAAAAGCTGTTATAACTGTAAAAGGATGCTGTACTAAGTACTAAGATTGAATGTCACTTGGGGGTTGAATAAAACTGATAATGCTGTGAGCACAGAAAAGACATTTGTGGTTATTTCATTATAACTGTTATGTTATATTTGTCTGACCTACAAGTGCCTCTTTAATGTAAATGTAAGCAAGATGACTGAATGATCAAAAGCAATGTCAAACTGGCCAAAACACTCAATTTCAGTGGGGGTTGAATAATTTTGGCCACAACTGTATATTGATTGCTTTGTGTGAAGTTATAGCGTCTACAAACTATGGTATAGATACTGCAATTTACCCCATTTTTTTTGCTATTTACAGCGCTGCGCTAGTTTAACGGACAATTGCGCGGTCATGCAATATGGTACATAAATGAAATTTACATGCTTTTTTTCCCCCACAAATTGAGCTTTCTTTCGGTGGTATTTGATCGCCTGTGCGGTTTTTATTTTTTGCGCTATGAAAAAAAAGGCTGACAATTTTGAGGAAAAAAAATATTTTGGACTTTTTGCTATAAAACATGTCTAGTAAAAAAAAAATTTAAAAATCAAATTTAGTCATAAATTTCTGCCAAAATGTATTCTGCGACATGTCTTTGCTAAAAAAAAAAAAACCCAATACGTGTAAATTAATTGGTTTACGTGAAAGTTATAGCGTTTACAAATGGCGGGAAAGATACTGGGATTTTTAATTTTTTTATACTAATAATGGCAGCAATCAGCGACTTATGGCGGGACAACTATGGTATATATATATTGCCATTTTTATTTATTTAATTTTTTATCTACTACTACTGGAGGTGATCAGCGACTTATATTGGGACTGTGATAGAGCGGCAGGCAATTTGACGCTGAGAGGAACTGACTAACTGCCACTGACATCACCAGTGACATTAATACAGTCATCAGTGAGAATCAGGGGCGGACTGACCATTTGTAAACTCAGGCACTGCCCGAGGGCCTGGGGTCAGTAGGGGGCCCCTTGAGATGCCCCTGGTACCTTTTTCATAGGCTTTTTGGAGTTTGGGCAAGGACACAGGGGCCCCATAATCCCCTATTGCCTGGGGGCCCCATGAGTTGTCAGTCCGCCCCTGGTGAGAATACTATACACTGTCACTGTACTAATGACACTGGCTGGGAATGGGTTAACATCTACGGCAATCAAGGGGTTACATCTATGGCTAACAATGTATGATGTACGTATTAGGTGCTGCTTTTACTAAAGCATCAATGCGTTGCAGGGATGAGAAACAGAGAGATCGTTCCCTCTGTAGTGAGCTTTGTGTTGATTGTCAGCACAGAGTTCTGGGCTGTGATTGGATACAGCCGATCAGCAGGTCCCAGGACCCGCTGAAGGACTCCCATTGTGTACAATCATACATGCGCCCTAAACAAGGAGGCAGGCAGCGACGTTCTGGTACATTTGCCCACCTGCAGAACTTTGTGGTCAAGAAGTGGTTAAAAACATGCCGCACCAAATCGCATGGCACCACAGTGCCATTCGGTGCCTGAAAATGCACTGCACTTCTACAATCTACATTTGAGGTGGTGTCAGGGGCGGACTGACAACTTATGGGGCCCCCAGGCAATAGGGGATCATGAGGCCCCTGTGTCCTTGCCCAAACTCAAAAAAGCCTATGAAAAAGGTACCAGGGGCATCTCATGGGGCCCCCTACTGACCCCGGGCCCTCGTTAAGTGCCCGGGTTTCCAAATGGTCAGTCCGCCCCTGGTTATAAAACATGTCACGCTCCACTAATATATATAATAAAAATTGTTAAATTAATATACTCCCAAATTATATATACTTATGTCATGTATGATCAACAAATATCTCAAACCATATACATACAGTATATGATATTCGTGATCCTACTACAAATCTGTCCACATTCCGTGAAACATTCCATGAAAAATTATTTATTTATTTATTACACATTTATTAATGTTTCACAATTTTTAATATATATATATATATTAGTGGAGCGCGACACGCTTTGTAGAAGTTGAAATACACAAACCATTTGCAATGACAGGACAGCAGTGACCACTGCCCTAAACTCAACCACAAAGTGCAAGATAGAGAAAAAACAGACCACGAAACTTAACAAAGGGGAGTGATTGCCCAAAGAGCTTGCAATCAAAAGTGAAGTACAGTTTCCTAACTGACCCTAATCTCTCCCTAAGCAGTTTATTGTTCTATCAGCTCCCTAGAGAAGCTTCCAGTTCATGAACACCATGGACACTGCGCCCCTTCTTTTATGATGAGGGGGACTGGCTTAGCCTAAAGCCCCTTTATAGCTCTTCAAAGCCGGCTAGACATCGGTCAAAGGCCATGCAGTGCATGATGGTTTTACCAAAATGTTGCCTGGGCACTAACCAGCAACCTGAACCTCATCCCTAAAGAGCACCTGTCAGTAGGGATATGCTATAGTCTTGAGCTTGGAGCCTAGACATGGAGGACCAGTGATGTCACAGCGGCTTCCTTTTCAGCTGATAAATGATTATGGTCAGCCCCATTCCTTCCATGTCCAATCAGAAAAGATACACATGTGTTACCCTGTGATGTTGTACATGGCGGACAGCATCTCACAATACTTCTCCAGCAGAGCTGTGAGGGACAGGTTTCCCGAGCTGGTGCATTGGAGGGTCATCTGCAAATGTAAAAAAAAAAAAATCACTAATAGTAAACAATGTATCATTAATGGTAAACAATGTATCACTAATGGTAAAGTGCATGTAACCATTCCCTTGTTTTTTTCCCCTTTTGTTTGTTCCTCTTTCCTTTTTTTCTATTTATGTAGTTCATTTTGGTGTAGAAGAGTGGTCTCCAAACTGTGGTCCAGCGGCTTTGATGTCCTTTGCTTGCCTCTATCCAGTCCTAGGAGCACTATTCCATCCACAACTGACACCAATGATGGGGCACTATTTCATCCACAACTGACACCAATGATGGGGCACTATTCCTCCCACTGATACCAATGATGGGGCACTAATCTTCCCAGTGATACCAATGATGGGGCACTATTCCTCCCACTGATACCAAAGATGGGACACTATTCCTCCCACTGATACCAATGATGGGGCACTATTCCTCCCACTGATACCAATGATGGGACACTATTCCTCCCACAGACACCAATGATGGGGCACTATTCCTCCCACTGATACCAATGATGGGACAATATTCCTCCCACTGATACCAATGATGGGGCACTCTTCCTCCCGCTGACACCAATGATGGAGCACTATTCCTTCAACTGATACCAATTATGGGACATTATTCCTCCCACTGATACCAATGATGGGGCGTATATTCCTCCCACAGACACCAATGATGGGGCACTATTCCCCCCACTGATACCAATGATGGGGCACTATTCCTCCCACTGATACCAATGATGGAGCACTATTCCTTCCACTGATACCAACGATGGGGCACTATTCCTCCCACTGATACCAATGATGGGGCACTATTCCTCCCACTGATACCAATGATGGAGCACTATTCCTTCCACTGATAACAACGATGGGGCAATATTCCTCCCACTGACACCATTGATGGGGCACTATTCCTCCCACTGATACCAATGATGGGGCAATCCTTCAACTGATACCAATTATGGGACATTATTCCTCCCACTGATACCAATGATGGGGCGCTATTCCTCCCACAGACACCAATGATGGGGCACTATTCCTCCCACTGATACCAATGATGGAGCACTATTCCTTCAACTGATACCAATTATGGGACATTATTCCTCCCACTGATACCAATGATGGGGCGCTATTCCTCCCACAGACACCAATGATGGGGCACTATTCCTCCCACAGACACCAATGATGGGGCACTATTCCTCCCACTGATACCAATGATGGGGCACTATTCCTTCCACTGATACCAACGATGGGGCATTATTCCTCCCACTGATACCAATTATGGGACATTATTCCTCCCACTGATACCAATGATGGGGCGCTATTCCTCCCACAGACACCAATGATGGGGCACTATTCCTCCCACTGATACCAATGATGGGGCACTATTCCTCCCACTGACACCAATGATGGGGCACTATTCCTCCCACTGACACCAATGATGGGGCACTATTCCTCCCACTGACACCAATGATGGGGCACTATTCCTCCCACTGACACCAATGATGGGGCACTATTCCTCCCACTGATACCAATGATGGGGCACTATTCCTCCCACTGACACCAATGATGGGGCACTATTCCTCCCACTGACACCAATGATGGGGCACTATTCCTCCCACTGACACCAATGATGGGGCACTATTCCTCCCACTGACACCAATGATGGGGCACTATTCCTCCCACTGACACCAATGATGAAAAGCTTTCAATGTGCCACATCCAAATTTAACATATGAAGCAAACTTTATAGGTACCATATGAGACCACACATAAATTGTATGTATTTTATTCAAACATAATAAAATTAGGCACATATCAGACATGTATGATAAAAAGTACATATGGGGGATACCCCCAAAACAATTAACCCCTCCTCATATACATATAATTGGTGTATACTGTATATCTATAACATGTTCACATTTTATCCATTTTCAATGATCAACGCATTTAGCTTCTTCAGGACAGTAAATTTGCGGAGACAGAAAATTTTTTACTGTAGAAAACATAATATACATTAATTTTCAATCCATAAATTATATTTTCACGTTGAAAACCAATAAAGAAGGCTCACATAGGTGGGGCCAGGGCTGCTGTTAGAAACCACGGGGCCCCATACAGCCAACCTGACAGCACCCGCCCCCCCCAAAAAAACAAACCGTTTACTATGCTTCAGTTATGAATGAACACAGTGAGTCATCGGTACCAATCACTCATTGTGTTCATTCGGGAAAGAAAGGGTCTGGTAAATGTGACATATTACCAGACCCTTTCCCTACTCTACATCCTGCAGGATCCAATTGTGTGCTTGCAGCTGCCATTGGGAAGGAGAAGAGAGCAGCCGGAAGCACTGCAGGCATGGGGGCACACAGGGGGGCCTAGACGTCAGGGAAAACATATGGTGCACAAGGAGAGTAATGGGTGTGAAGGGAGGGGTAATTACTGGAACCTATCCTCTGTGTGGCTCTCTCTTTCAGCAGATGCAAAGAGAGCCATACAGGGGATTGGTTCCAGTAACTGCCCCCCCCCCCCATAAGCTGATCATCATCCCTGCCCACATCCGATTTACCCATCTGCATGGGCCCCTCTGCTGGACTGGACCCCATACAGGAGGGCTGGTGGTACCCCCTTATCCACGGCCCTGGGTGGGGCACATCACTTTCACTTGTGGGCTTCCCAAACCACTAGAGGCAGTCTCCAGTGTTCAGCGTATGTCATGTGATTGGAGGAGGCCTTCATTGAGTCTCCATGATGGTTGAGCAGTGGAGTCCAAATGTAGGGTAAGATGGATCGGGGCATGGTCAAAATGGAATGTGTCCCCAATGTGTGCCCTATTCCTCCTGAACCATACCACCAGGCCACATTCCTTCAAATTGGGGGGGTTCTTACCAAAGCGCCTTGTACCCATGTTTATGATGAGGACAAGAGCCGCTTCCCCAAAAATCTGGTGGTTGTAGGGTTGTGGTAGTATGCGGGCTGGGGGCTTATTGGAATCTGAGGGGGAACATTTGCACCTTGGGGGATTATTGGAATCTGGGGGGGGGGGGGGCTTGTTGGCAAAGCAGCTTGCAACTTTTATGAGGAGGAAAAGGGCCTCTTCCCCACAATCCTGACCTGATGGTTGTGGGAGTCTGTGGGTGAGGGGTTTATCAGAATAATGGGGAGACACTTTGGTACCTTGGGGGCTTATGGGAATATGGGGTGGGCACCTTGAAAAAGCACCTTTTACTCATGTTGATGAGGACCAGGACCTCTTCCCTACAACCCTGGTCTAGTGGTTGTGGGAGTCTGTGGGTGATCGGTTTATTAGAATTTGGAGAGACACGACACTTTGGCACCTTGGTGACTTATCAGAATATGGGGGAGGGAACCTTGGAAAAGCACCTTTTACCCATGTTGATGAGGAACTTGGTTCCCCACAACCCTGGCCCAGTGGTTGTGAGCATTTGTGAGTGAGGGGTTTATCCAGGGCCAGTGCTTCCACTAGGCAAACTAGGCAGCACTGACACCCAGGGCGCCTGGGAGCAGCACAGGCCGTCACTCTC